CCCGGGAGATGGGCCCGCCCCGGCCCTCCAGCCCCAGCACCTTGAACTCCTCCAGCTGGTGATAGAGGCGCCAGAAGTGCTTGGTGAAAAGTTCGGGACTGATGGGCTTCCCATTGATGCGAATCCGTTCACGCACCTGCACCAGGTGGGGAGAGCTGCCGAGAGACCTGGGGTCATCGGGACTCCTGCCCGAGCCTCAGGGCCTGCCTCGCCCTAGTCAGACTTCTTTCAGAAACACGCAACTGTGTCCCTCCCCGTTGGAGAGGCTCTGTGGAGTCAAGAGCTCCTAACTAGGGCCTCCCAGCCCCTACAGAGGCCCAGCACCTCAGAACTACTTCAGTCTCAGCCCCAGACTTCCTCTCTGTCCGAGTTCATCCCACTTACTGTACCAACCTCAACTAAGACACACCCTCCAGAGAGGAGGGAGCTGGCCTTGTCCCCAGAATGGTCCAGCATCTTCTCTGGGCCGCCAAAGCCCCATGCTTCCCCAGCACACAGATCGGTGACTCTGCTAACATGTGCCTACAACAGTCACCTGCCTTTCAGTCTCAAAGTAATAAATCCAGAGGGAGGAACCATCAGAGCCATTCCCCTGCCCCATCCACATGCTGGGCTAGAAGACCTCATAGGCCCAAGTCAGTGGCTAGAGGTTTTATAAATTATTATTGTGGTAGAAGTGGGCATTGGCGGGGCTTATGACTGCACCAACATCATCATCTGCCCCATCCACATGCTGGGCCAGAGGTAAGGGCACTTGCTGCCAAGCTTGATATCTGAGCTCTATGCCAAGAACTCACATGGCAAAGGAAACTACTCCTAAAAGTTGCCCTCCGACCTCTACTCACGCTCCATGAGGCATGTGCACACACAAGCACATATACAGTAAGAAGATGAATAAAGGTAATAGAGCCAGCCAGTGGTAGCACTCGGGAGGCAGAGCCAGGCGGATCTCCGTGAGTTCAAGGCCAGCCTGGTCTACAGAGCGAGTTCCAGGACAGGCACCAAAACTACACAGAGAAACCCTGTCTCGAAAAAAACAAAAACAAACAAACAAACAAACAAAAAAGGCAATACAACAAAAGTAATTAAATTTTCTCAAGCTTTTAAAAAAGTATTATTCTTTTTATTTAGCTCTTTTTTTTTTCTTTTTTAAGGTATGGTCTCATATAGCCAAGGCTGGTCCCCAACTAGCTGAGGATGACCCTAAATTCCTGATCCTCCTGCCTCTATCTCCCCAGTGATGCATCTCACAGGCATGTGCCACCACACTCAGTTCCCAAAAGACTATTCTAGAAGACAGAAAGTTGCCTTATATAGTCATAAATTGCTTCACCACCTTTGGCCAAATGACAGACATATACTGTCCTTTACGAGTATATCACCTATCAAATGCAGTAGCCACTTAGTGTGCCACGATCACAAGTCTCCTAAAGACACATTTCTCCAGTCTTGTTAGTGACATGTGTCTGCTGGTGACTCCTCAGAGACCCTCACACACCAGGTCACCTCCATGTCGTTCCTTCCTTCCTTTCTTTCTTTTTCTGAGAACTCTGAGATCCACCTGCCTCTGCTGGGATTAAAGGCGAGAGCCACACACCCAGCCAGCTTCCGTTTCTTTATTTTGAATAAACACCAGTTTAGGGAAGCATGTTGACCTGAAATGGCTGTAGCCAACCGGTCTCAGCTGCGCCTGGAGGTGCCTGACGGAGCTGACGGAGTAGAAGCAAGCAAAAGCTGGATACGCTCCTCTCTCAAGGAACAAACCCCAAGGAGCACAATCAGATTCATTCCTCCAAAATGTCATTCATTCTGGAGACAGGCTAAGACACTCATCAAGCATAGGACACAGGTTCTACCTCCAGATCTGGATGTCTGTGTGCCACCACAAGGGGGCGCTGCCTCCAGAGGAAAGCTGCAGCTAAGGCTGGTGGAACTCTACCGCCCCCCTGTGGAGACTTAACAAGGGCCATAAACAGCCCTTATCTGCGTCTTCCTGTTCCTTACTGCAGACCTCGCAACTGACAAACATTTTTGTACTACTTACAGACTGGAGAGCCTGGGAGAGGGCTCAGTCAGTAAGGTGCTTGCCATGAGGATCTGAGTTCAGATCCCAGAATTCCCACACTCCCCCCAAAAAGCTGATGTAGCCTCACTGCTCGGGAGGCAGAGATTAGAGGATCCTTGGGGTTCCTCCAACTGATTCCAGGAGCTCCAGGCTCAGGTTCAGTGAGAGACCCAGCCTCGAAACACACACACACACACACACACACACACACACACACACACACACACACTGTACACATGTGCACCCATACATACACATAAATCATATTGGAAGTTGGGTGAAAGGTGGCACATGCCTTTAATCTCAGCACTCAAGAGACAGAGGCAGGTGGGTCTCTGTCAGTTTGAGGCCAGCCTAATAATCTATATGGAGAGTTCCAAGACAGACAGCCAAAGCTACGCAGGGAGACCCCCACCAACCCCGCCCTGCCTCAAAACAAAAATTAAAAAATAAAAAAGCAAAAACAAGCAGGTGTGGTGCCTCACGCCTGCAAATCCAGCAGGACTGAGGTAGGAAGAACCTCAGGAGCTCTAGGCCAGCCTGGGGCACGGAGTGAGTTCCAGGTTAGCCTGGGCTGGAGTAACACCCTCTCAGGAAACTGAAAGAGGGGCTGGAGGGACAGTTCAGCAGTTAAAAGCACTGCTGCTCTTGCAGAGGACCTGGGTTCGAGTCCCAGCACCCACATGTGGCTCAGAACCCTCTGTAACTCCAGTTCTACCAGGCACATATGTGAAGCCCACACCCGCAGGCAAAATAACTACACACATAAAATAAAAATACTAATTAAAAAATTAAAAAAGCAAAAGCAGCCTGGTGGCGGCGCACGCCTCCAGCACGTGGGAGGCAGAGGCAGAGGAAGGCGGATCTCTGTGAGTTCGAGGCCAGCCTGGTCTACAGAGTGAGTTCCAGAACAGGCACCAAAACTATACAGAGAAACCCTGTCTCAAAAAACCAAAAAAAAAGAAAAAAAAAAAAAGAAAAAGAAAAAATTACATTTGTAATTTAAATTAATAAAAGAGCATCTGACTCTTCCAGCCAGGTACTTAGATCATCCCTTAAGATACCATCAATGTCCTTCCATTTCCTTTACTTATGAAAACTGATGGCTGCTATTAGTGGGCCAATATGGACAATGTGGATTTAATGTTTGCTGAATGGATAAATACCGGCAGAGAGACATACAGGCTGGCCTTGGCTCTGGTACCACAGCCCTCCACAGAGCTAAGAGGAAGATACCACCCCAGCCCCCGCCCAAGAGACACATCCCCCCCAGAGTCCCGTACCTAAAGAAGCCTGTCTTCAGGCCGTAGTTCCGCAGGATGCGTTCAGTGAAGGCACAGGTGGAGCCCTAGAAAGCGTTGGGTGGGGTGAAGTGATAGTTAACACTGATTGGAAAATGGGCAGCACCTACAGTCACCCGGGAGACACGTTTCTGGGCAGGTCTGTGAAGGAGCTTCTAGACAGGGCTGCAGGCAAGCCAAACACCAGCATCCATTACTTCCTGACTGAGGATGCAACTCATCTCATGCCACAATGGACCATATCCCCCAGGACTTACAGTCAAATAAACTTCTTCCCTTACATGTTGGACAGTTTCCTGTCACCTTCACATAAGCTAGACATCTGGGAGGGGACCTCAATTGAGAAAACACCTTCGAAAGATCGGCAAACCCATGGGGCATTTTATTAATTGGTGATTGATGTGAGAGGGCCCAGCCCATGGTGGGTGGTGCCACCTCTGGGCTGGTGGTCCTGGGTGCTCTAAGAAAGCAGGCTGAGGGGCTGGAGAGACGGCTCAGCGGTTAAGAGTGCTGGTTGCTCTTCCAGAGGTCCTGAGTTCAATTCCCAGCAACCACATGGTGGCTCACAACCATCCGTAGTGGTGCCCTCTTCTGGCTGCAGACAGAACACTGTGTACATAATAAATACATCTTAAAAAAAAAAAAAGCAAGCAGGCTAAGCAAGCCACGAAGAACAAGCCAGGAAGCAGCCCCTCTCCATGGCCTCTGCATCAGCTCCTGCCTTCAGGTTCCTGCCCTGACCGCTTTTGATAATGAACTATTATTATATGGAACTGTGGGTGAAATAAACCCTTCCCTCCCCAGGTTGCTTCTGGTCACGATGTTTCATCACAGCAATAGTAGCCCTAAGAAGACACCCCAAGTTGCTATTTGGTAGCAGCACGTAGAAAAGCAGCTAATAAATGTGGACAGGCCCCAGCCCACGGGGACGGCTCTTGGGTTACTTTTCTTACCTTTCCTTTGGTCCCAGTGACGTGGATAATGTTTAGACGGTTTAGGTCCTCCACCTACAGCAGACAGAAAGGTCCCTGCCTCAGGCACAGGGTTCCCCAGCAGAGGGGGCAGAGGTGTCCCAGGATCTACTGCCTTACCTGCAGTCCACTCCGTACCAGGTACACCTCCATGGCTTCCAGCTGCGCCTGAGGGTCACTCCGCTGACGCTTCACCTGCTCCAGGTAGCTGGCATTGGTCTGCAGGGTGTTGAGCATGCGTACAGCATCCTGGCAACCACAGTCCTAGTTCAGTGAGGGTCCTTAAGGACGGTGGTGCTCAGGCAACAGTGACAAAGCCAGGCGACAGGCCTGTTAGACCAGTCCTGCTACCTTGGCCTACACTTACTTGGTGAGGAGGGAACCCTGGCATGTTCCCAGTCCTGGCCAAGATGGGAGCCCCGCCCGGGGAGCGCCAGGTAAAGCTGGCAAGACTAACGGGCCTTCATTTCCTGAGCTGCCTTCCCGAGCCTCTATGCCCTCAGCCTTGACCCTCACACCCCCTGGGCCTTTGTCCTTGCTCATTCCACAACTACGCTGGGCACCCATTGGGCTGGGGCAAGGTCCACAGGCATCTAGGGACTTGGAATTCTGGAATTCCTTAAGGCTCTGGAGTTCCACATTCTAACCCCAAGACAAGACGATGAAAGCAATTAGATCTTGAAGAGGAGGAACAGAGAGAGGGAAGGAAGATGTGCCCAGGCCATCCAGCCAGAACCCACAGGTGGGCACAGCCTCAGGAGGGAGCGGATGGGGGTGGGGCCAGAAAATAAATGGAGAGAACTAAATCAGAGGTATTTGAGGATTTAAATCCGGTCGTGTGTGTGTGTGTGTGTGTGTGTGTGTGTGTGTGTGTGCGCGCGCGCGTTTCAACTATATCTACATTCTGCGAAGTCGGTGCTCAGGTGGTCCCCTCGGGCATCAGACCCACGTCACCTGCCCCCTCAGCCTCAAGGCACGGCTAGAAGCCTCACTGCCCTCAAACCGGTGCCACCTGCCTGGCTAACATCAAGTTCTGGCCACTGACAACTGAACCCTGGCACAGCAATCTACAGACATTTTCTGTTTTCCAGATTCTTGGTCTCTTTATCGCCTCTTTTCCCGCCTGTCCGCCAGCCAATTCTGAACACCTGGGTTGCCAGCCTTGAGTCCTGGAGACCCCAGCTCCTCCCGGGTATTCCACTCTGGACTCCAGACTCCTCCCTTCCCCCTTATCCCGCACTGCCAGTGCAGACTCTGGGGTCACTGCAACTTCTGAAACTCAATTCAGACGCTGGGCGACCTGGCGTAATCACCTGCGCCCCTTCCCTCTGCAACGCACACCCTAGGAATTCCCAGATCCGGCCCCCTGACCCCAACTTTCTGGTTCCCTGTCACCTCCCCCGAACTCCGGGATGTCACCGCCTCCCTAACCCCGCAACTTCAGGATCCGCTGTTCCCAGCAGCTGGCGGAGCGCGGCTCCGGTCTGGCCCACGTGTCAGTGCGCGACCCTGTCCCACCGCGGGTCAGAAACCTGGTACTCCATGCCGGGCTCCTGCGGCGCGGGCCACGCGCTCAACCACCGCCGCGCCGCGCCCTCGGCCGTTGCACCACGCGCAGAAACAGCTGCCAGGGACAGAGCCGAGCACAGGTGGCTCCGCGCCCACGACATAGTCCTGATGCCACCGCCAGCTAGGCCTGGGCCGGTGCCGCCCCGCCCCGCCCCGCCCCGCCCCGACGCGCCTCTGGGATTCACCAATCAGAGCCTCTCGAGGCCCCCCGGACCAATGAGAATCGGCGCCCTATCGCGGCCATCTTTGTGAGGGGCAGATCGCGGGCCACTGCGCGGCTTTCGCCGTGCTTCTGAGGGCGCACTGCCGGGAAGGGTGGGGTGGGGTGCGTAGAAGGGGACCTTAAAGGGACTGCGCACCTCCAAAGTTCTGAGCCGCAGGTCTTAAGGACTTGGCCACATATCCCAAAATAGCCACGCCGAGCCAGCAGCCCTCGGTCCCTGCGCCAGGCCAGCTGGGATAGAATTACAGAGCTGGCAGACGCCGGTGGTCATCAATTCCCAGCACCGAAATGTCCGGGCTCAGGCACAGTGGGGATGTGGCCTTTGCGGTCAAGAGTCTGACGCCTCTCCCGAGGCCCCTAACGCACTCTGAGAAACCTAGGAAGACTTCCAAGAGGAGTGGCACCCTTACCGAGGCCTGCGGGGTGCAGGAGAGTTTCCAGGCTAGAAAGGGTACAGTGATTCAAAGCGTTCTACTTGGTTGGACCAAGTTGCTCCCTGGATGCTCCGTTCTGCAGGGCCTTGGAGCCTGTATAGAATGTGCATTAGGGCTGGAGTGGTTAAGAGCACTGGCTGCTCTTCCATAGATCCAAGGTTCAAGCTGAGTCACGGTTCAAGTCCCAGGACCCACACTGCGGCTCACAGCTGGGGACACTCCTACTTCTGGCCTCCAAAAGCACCAGACGTGCACGCACACAATGTAGTGCACAGACTTGCAAACACACACACAAAAAAAACTGGAGTAAATTTGGCTGGCTAAAATTAAAATGGCTTTAGGGAGAGGAGAATGATCGGATTAGCACTTTGTAAACTCCCTGGCAATGGACAGTTGATTTGAGAGCAATGGAGGGGAGGGGGAATACACAGTAATCTCACCTAATTGTGGGTGAAGAGGCCCCTCCATTTGTGGAAGGCACTGGAGAAAAGGCGGCCCTTGGATCGATGATGGGTTTTCAATATCTTCCGCTTTCCATCATTGGGCTTAAATATTTAGCAGGGATTGTCTCTTGTTAAATAAACAAGAGATGTTTGGGGAGGAGTCTGGACTTCGGCTCTCTGAACACGCTGCTGGACTCAAACGCACAGAGATCTGCTTGTGTTGGGTGTTGGCCTCCTGAGAGCTGGGATCAAGGTGGTCAAGTGTGTATTTCAGCGAACAGCTTCGCTCACTTTGGGCCCACTTTCCCTCTGTTTTTCTGTGGGGTTCAGTCTATAACCCAGGTGGACTTGAGACACCACAGCTGGGCCAGGCTAGTCTCAAATTCTCTTATGCAGCAAAAGATGACTGAACTCAATCCTCCTGCCTCCACTTTCAAGTGCTGAGATTACAGGGCTGGATGACAGGCCTATAGTGCCCACCTGGTTTTACATCCTGCAGGGATCTAATCCAGCACCTCATGCAAGCTGGGCAAGCCACCTGCCACTGCCCAGTCCTCCAAGGATTTGGTTTGTTATTTGAGACAGGTCTGGCGCACCCCAGGCCTTCCTCTAACTGCCTGTGTAGCCCAGAGTGATCTGAAACTCTGATCTTTCTGCCTCCACCTCCCAGGTGCTGGGATTACAGGATTTTGCCACTTCGCCTGGCTTTGTCCACAGGTGTATTTCAGCGAGCAGCCTCACCCATTCTTAGCCTACTTCTCAGTCTCTCTATTTTTTCTACGGGTCTCAGTCTGTAACCCAGGAGGACTTGAACTCAAGATCCTTCCTCTATCTGCTGACTGGTCTGACAGCCCTTGTGAGCCAGTTTTGGTTTGTTTGTTTGTTTGTTTGTTTGTTTGTTTGTTTGTTTTTAATCTTCTCTCTGCCAATCACAAAAACACTTTGTGCCTCTAGAAGTGTGATTAAGAGGCAGAGCTTCAGCTGGGTGGTGGTGCACACGCCTTTAATCCCAGCACTTGGGAGGCAGAGGCAGGCTGGTCTCTGAGTTCGAGGCCAGCCTGGGCTACAGATGTTCCAAGACGGCCAGCGATACACTATAAAAATATAATATTAGAGTAAAAGCGTTTGTGCACCTAGTTCTGTCCTGGGGTGGGGGTGGTATTTTTTAGCTGTCAGATCTGTAAGAAGTGACCCTGGAGTTGTACAGCAGCCCAAGTGAAGGCTGCTATCCTCTGCGGAGCGAAGAAGAAAGCCCTGCTCGTCTACGGTCCTGGCTGAGCGAATTTCCTTTCCTCTCGTTGTTTTCCTTGTTTGGTCGACTGGGCTTTTGTTTGTTTGTTTGCTTTATTTTGTTGTTTGTTTATGATAGGTTCTCACTAGATAGCCTACAGTGGCCTGCAACTCCCTCTGTAGCCCAGGCTTGCCTCTAACTCTAATTCTCCTGCCTCAGTTTCCCAAGTACTGGAAATGCATCCAAGGTTCAAGGAATACAGTTATATGCCACTATTCTCAACCTAATTTCCTTTTTATTTTGTGTGGGTGCTTTGCCTGTATTTGTGTCTGTGCCAGCAGAGGGCAGAAAGGGGCAGGGGGTGGGCAGATCCCCTGGAACTGGAATTACAGGCGGCTGGTTGTGAGCTGTCATATGGGTGCTGGGAATTGAACCCAGGTCCTCTGGAAGAGCAGCCCGTGCTCTTGACTGCTGAGCCATCTCTCCAGCCCCAAGTTCCTTTATCTTTGCCATGTCAAAGCAACAGAGGGGCTGGGATCTGGCTAAGCACTAGAGCGTTTGCTCTGTAGATAGCAGCTCTAACCGGAAACAGAAATGCAGACAGACATGGAGGACAAGACACTGGCAATTCCGTGGATCTACTCTGGTATTATTCCACTTGTAGCAGGGAATTGTAAGTGGTATGCCTGGGCCTTGAGCATGTCACCTCTATCCTAGACTTGAGCATATTCTGCTGTCCCCAAGGGCAGGTTTCACGACTTTCCATGTGTTTATTTTATTATTTTGGCCTAGGTCTCATATATCCCACACTGGCCTCTAAATCTCCATGTATTAAAGCTGCCTTGGACTCCTGATCCGCCTCTTCCACCTGGAAAGTGCTGGGTTTACAGGCATGCATCACTATCATATCCAGTTTATACACGCTGGAGGTCATGCCCAAGGCCCTCTGCACACTAGGGAAACGCTGCCAACTGAGTTTTAGGCCCAGCCTTCAATTCCATTCCCAGACCGCAATCAACCCTGTACAAGCAGACTCCATACCATACGGCTTCCATGTACTTTTCCTCCCTGGTGCTAGGATTGGCACACACATGTGCATGCCATAGCATGTCCTCGGAGGTCAGAGGACTACTGCAGGAGTTGGTTCCCTCCTTCCACCAGGTGGGACCTGGGAACCAAACACAGGTTGTTAGGCTTGGGGGCAAGCGCCTCAGCCACCGAGCCATGGTGCTAGCCCATCCACAAGCCTTTCTGCCCAGGATCTTCTTCTGGGCTGTGTTGGAGGTCGAGGTCCCTGTGGCTGATCTGCCTCTCTGAGCTGTGGAGTGCTCCAGGGGTGGAAACATGGTTGCACCCTTGGCTAATCTCCTGTGGGCTGCCTTTAGGCTGCTTCCTGTATTTTGCAGTGATGTAATGGCATCATTTGCCTTCCTTATTTCTGCCCCGTGTGAGCAGAGCCTAAGACTAAGAAGTGAATGACTAGGTCAAGGGTGACTAGGTCAAGGGTGACTAGGTCAAGGGCGATTTGCAGCACACATGCTCACACATATTGCTTTGTTGTGCCCAACAGAGGAGGCAGAGGAAGTTTCCTCACTCCAGTGGCTCCTTCCCATCCTCATATCCCGATGCTTGGCATCAGCCGCCTCAGAACCTTGTGTGAACCAGAGACTGTCCTCATTCTAGGGGGGTAGAAATTGAGGACCGGAGAGATAAGTGAGCACACCCAGACTAGCTCGCTAACATCTACCTTTGTTCCTCCCACCACCTGTCTGCTCCTCCAGTTCTCCCTGTGTTCCTGGACTTGCTGTGGGGCTCTAGAAAGCTGCCCCCCCCATCTCTGATTAGTTTCTTCCACAGCAAGATGAGGTCTGAGGAAGCGGTCTAGCCATCCCTTCCTCACCTGGGTCTCTCTCTACACCTGGAATACTACAAAGAACCAGGACATTCAAACTTATCAGCAGGTGTGCATGGAAGCCTAGCATCCAGAAGTGGGGTGCATCTCTGTACCCCCGGCACAGACAAGGACCCTCCATGTTCCAACATCTACACCAATGACCTACAGAGACCCCCGTCCTTAATGAGTTCCACATCCTCCGCAGGCCTTAACTATGAGTGCAGATGAGTTCCAGGAGCCCGGGCAGCTAGCTCACCGATGGCTGCAATGCTGAAGGAACCGTCTCGCTCCCTCAGCAACCGTTACCTGAACATGGGCTTCCTTTGGCCCTGCAATCGTGCCTTCTAGAGTGACTGGAGGAGGCAGCTGGCCTTCTCCCAGAACCCCATCTCACAGAGCAGGTGACATGGATAAATATGCCACACGCCCTCCTGAAGCCCTTCTTCCCTGGGCTTCCTGCCACCTGCTTGCCTTCCTGTCTGTCCTAGGGTGCACTTTGCTGGTCTCATCTCTGTTCTTTGTTATCTCAGGCCTCTCTGCCACCCTGGCATCCTATGTCCC